CCTTCCTCCCTCCCTCCCTCCCTCCCTCCTCCAACAACGACCACTGCCTGAGCTCCAGGCACCTTGCATGGCACGAGGCTGGTGACAATGATGCCCACAAGGACCTCGGCGTCCTGGGGGCCGTGGGCCTCAGGTGCTCCTGCTCCCATGGGACACGCACTCTACGGGTAGAGTGAACAGAGGGTAGGACCACAGGGAGAAGACAACATTGGAGCTGGGCCTTAAAGGAACAGCAGCGCTCGGCCTGGCCTGGGGTGGGGTGCGGGTACAGTCACTTAAGGCAGAGGAAGTAGCTTCGCCAAGACCTCGTGTGGGCAGTTCAGGGTGTGGTAGCGCCAAGCGGCCCAGTGCACACTGGCTGTGCAGACAGGGAGGCCTGGAGGGGGAGGCTGCAGAGGGGACTGCAGACAGACGGCCGGTCAAGGGCTGGCCTGACAGGCAGCCGTTTATTATGGTCTTTGAACTTAACACCACAAGACAAAACCTAAAATTCAATTATTCTTCAACCACATTCACATTTTCCAATCTTCTCAGGTATTTCCCAACTATTGTTCCCCACCTACAGCCACTAATAAATCTATCAGCGAGTCAAAAACCAGCCTCCCTTCTACTACACCCAGTGTGACTAGAAAAGGTGGTAGAAAGAGAGAAAGTGTGATTTAATTAGGCCTTTCTGATCGGACACTGGTGCTGAGGTGTGCAGCTGAAAGTGGGAGCTGGTTGATTTTGCATCAGCAGCTTAAACTCAACCATAACGGGCATGTTTATAGCACAGCCATCAGCAAACATCACAAATCCGTTGTTTTCAGAGCTGGTTGCCAGACATGTATGGGCACGTGTGTGTGCACGTGTGAGTGTGTGCACGCAGACACATGGAAGGAGAGCTGCTGAAATTCGCATGGCCTGGCCGCAGCCAGCAAAGGGCACCAGGAAGAGGACGCGCGGTGGGCACTCACCAGCCTCAGGTTCTTCATCGCCTGCGGGAACATGCCTTGATGCAACTGCAATTTGCCAACTTTCATTACCTGCACGCCTCTGACGGGGTGGCAGCCCGGGAAGAAGATCCTAGAAGAAACCACAGGGCACACGGTCAGCAGCTCCGTCCTCTGTGGCCAGCATCGCACAGGAGTCCACATGAGCGGAGCCACGTGAATAGGAGCCACGTGAATAGTAGCCACGCCGGCCGTGGCTGCTCAGGAGCCCCCGGAGGAAATGAGCGACCCTGTGGGCACAGGCGCAGGGCGGCCTCCTGCTCCCAGGATGCTGTGCATTCAGAACAAAAGGCCTGTGCCGGGCGCCTCTCCAATGAGCACCACATGCCCCTCACCCTCCACGCTCTCTGAAGCCCAGCACCCGGCAGCGTGGACCAGCGGGGCCTCTGTAGGTATTTGTTCAGCGAATGAATGGAAGTGTCCAGGCTCCCCATCTGGACGCCCCACACCCTCGTTTTGACCGGAAGCCCTCGCACGCCAGGCTAGCGCTCCTCGCCACCCACCTCTCTTGCAGGCCCGGGGTGTTGATTTTACCGCCCCCCCACCCCACCCCTGGGGCGCAGAGGCTGTGTGTGCCATGACGTCCTGCATGTAGGGGAACTCAAGACATGCGTGACCTGTTTCACCCGTAACGAGTAGAGAGCGTGTGGCCGTGCAGCAAGGACTGGAGATGCAGGGCCGTGTTTCAGACCCGACACTATTTCAGTCGGTTCAAAAGCATTTTTGTAATAGATTCAACAGAAGTGTGCAGTTTGGGCTCTTTTGCCCTCCCCACCCCCATCCCCACCCCCGCTATTCGTAGGGACTATGCTCCCGCCACAGGTGCAGGGCCATCCTGGGGCTGGGGGCACACGGCAGCATATGCACATCAAGGCCCGATCACCCCATCAGACGCCAGGCATCCATACAGTGGGGCCTTGACTTACGAGTGTCCCGACTAACGAGTTTTTCGAGATACGAGCCGTCTCTCGGCCGGTTTTTTGCTTTGAGTTGCGAGCTAAAATTCGGGTTATGAGCCAGCTTCAGATACCCCACCGCTAGTTGGCGCAGCGAACATCACAGTGAACGCCACAACATCAGCCCAGCATCACGTGTCTCACTCATTCACTTTTGATTTGACATACGAGTAATTTGAGTTACGAGCTCTGTCACGGAATGAATTAAACTCGTAAGTCAAGGCCCCACTGTACTATGGTTTAAAAATATTACAAAACCGAGTACAACTTAGGGCTTCGAGGGGGCCTCCAATCAGTACATGGCCATGCTCAACTCAAGGAGGTTGAACTGAACTGAGAAAATGACACAGGCGCTGTGCAGGGAGAGGGTGCCTGGCAGCTGGGGGGGGGGGGCGTTCCTGGGGGAGAGACACAGGCCCCAGCTGCCCAGGTTCTAAAAGGCCACGCCATCTGCCTAGGGTGGTCCGGCCAGAAGTGGCACAGCCAGTTCAGAACCAGCGGCTGCTCCTGGAGCTGTCAGCCCCCTCGCTGCCTCCCGGACTGCACCCACCTAACAGCTTTGCCTTCGATGAGCTCTGCGCACTGTTCACTTCTTACAGAGCAACTACGGCCCTTCCCATTGGCCCCATCTCCACTGTCCCAACACACTGCCCCCTCCGCTGGGCACTGACATGCCAGCAGCCTGCATCGCCCCGTCACCAGACACGGACAGGTAATTCAGACTCATCATCGCACCGAGGGAAAAAGTGTTAGAAACTCGTTAAACCAACGACTCTCCAGGTTGTTTCTCATAGAAAACCTGGGCTCCAGCCTCCAAACACACAGCAGAAGACTCGCCACCAGCTGGGTTTCACTTTAGAGCCATTTGTGGGAAATACTTATCACAGTCTTCCGTCTTCTCTGTGCCAAATCACAGAAAATTGAGAAGTGCCAAATGACACTGTCTTCAGAACTCCTGTCACAGAGTAAGCCCGCTCTCAGGGCTGTTCCCTGAAGTCATTCCTGACGTCCCACCACGTGGATAAAGGAATGTAATTTGCCAGCAGGAGAACGGCTGGCAACAGCACTGTGGGCGCTGGAGCAGGGTCTTTACAAAGCCTCATTCCATTACTTCTCCAGATGGCACGGCGTGTCCCAGCGCAGAGCGGCCACCTTGCTCTGTGCTGGACAGTCAGTGCTTTGCAGTTGGAAGTGCACTGTTAACACCTGCAGATTACAGCTGTTTGGCCAGAGAGGGCTCACTCACCTGTGGGGGGAGGGCTCTCTCAGAGGCCCCGTGGCCTCAGTCTACATGCAGCTGCCCTTACTGTGGGTCCCAGTTCCTGGGGGGCCATCTCCTCCACAGGGATTCACCCAGCCAGGCCCGTGCTGCACCGGCTCACAGCAAAGAGTTCAAGGAAGTACCATTTGACTCCACTCGCTTCCATCTGTCCTGCATCCTCTCCTCCGGGCTGAGGGCCTCACCAGCGATTTTCCCAGGGATGCCTCACAGCTGCTGCCCCCCACCCAGTGTAGTTCCCCCAAGGGTCCTGCTTTGTCCAATCAAAACGCCCAAGCTCCCTTAGGAAAAGCCCGATCTCATCAAGGCTTTAAAAGAAAGCAACCGTATGCGATTAAATTATAGTTGTGAGCGGCTGGTAATTTCAAGGAGGCGTTTGCACGTTGCAGAAGAAATTCTTATGAATTCACGAGAATTTCTAATGGATAAAATTCAAAACAATGTGACTAAGTGATGAGTTTTCATCGGTGGCGAGGAAAACTGTGGGGCACAAGTACCGCCCCAGTTTTAAGGAACCATGGTGGGCTGAGGTGTGTGCGTGGGAGCTGACCCGAGCGCGGGGCAGCCACGGTGAGCCATGCGCTGGCCACGCCCTCGGGCTCTGAAATGCCCATTACATTGCTCAGTCCGGGCAGCAAACGCGGGCTGTCTGGAAGCGCCCGAAACCACCTGACCAGACTCCAGCACAGCGACAGCCAGAGGGAAGGTACCCAGGCACCGGGAGGCACCTCCTCCTCCGCGGTGGGTATGTGAGAAGGTTTGATGCCACGAGCCCTGAGTCTGCACCTCTCTCCTCCCTCCCGCCGATCCTTTACGTGATCAGGCGCCAGAGGACACTGCTGGTCCAGCCTGTGGGAGTCAAGGGGTGGGAGGTGCTCCGCTTGCAACTGCCACAACGAGTGACAGGCTGAATAACAGGCTGCGTGGGGCAGGTGGGGTCACAGATCCCTGCTTCAGCCCCTCCCAGGTACAGACGACAGAGCAGCCCAGAAAAGGTGCTCTCGGCCACGAACGGGCCTGCGCCACGGGGCACGCCCTTGCGCCATCTTTCAGGAACCGAACGCCTGATAAAGCATGGCTCCTTCTAGAGATGTGTTCACAGGCAGCTCCCTACTGAGGCCAACGCCCATCACCGCTACCTTAGGAGGGCACGAGGCCTCGCCGTCCAAACCGAACAAGTTAGCACAGAACTGGAGCTATCTGTAGTTTGCAACATGCAAGACACGGGCAAGTGAGAATTCCAATAAAAATAGAGCTCTCCATTTTACCCGTTTCCCCCAATTCCAACCCCAGTCAACACCGATCACTGACTTCTCTTAGCTGCTCTCAAAATATTGCTGGCCAGGACTTCCCTGCTCTGGGGTTCACATGTCCTGGCTGGAAAGCAAAGTTCCTTATATATTTTAATGAAAAAAATCACCGTCTTTGATGACATTCACTCTTGGGGAACGCATAGGAGGAGAATCCATTTACATGCTAATTTGTTCATTCGTTCATTCATTCATCCATTCATTCACCCACATAGACATTCAACATTGACTGAGCACCTCTATGTGCCAAACACCACAGAGACGAAGTGGGGAGTGAGCCAGCAGCGGCTCCTGTCCCGGTGCAGCTCACATCCCTCTGGACAGGCCAGACGCGGAAGAGCATGAACAAGTCTGGAGCAACGGGGAGCTTCCTAGGGCCCATGGGGGTCCATGGCAGGGCCCACGCTACCTGCAGGGTCAGGAAACGTGTCCCAGAAGAGAAGACATTTCAGTTGGGGGCTGACAGGAGAGTAAAATCAGACACTCTGGGCAGAAGGGACAGTAGGTGCAAAGGTCCTGGGCACAAAACAACAGGAAGTACTTGAGTACGGTGCCCAGCCCAGCATGTCCTGGATGGAGTGAGGGTTATGACTGAGGTGCAGTGAGGAAGGATGCACGCACTGCCCCACCCTCCAGATCGGCTGGAGCCGCCCCACCCCATTACCCACACGTCACCCACACGTCACCCATCACCCACACGTCACCCCTCACCCACACGTCACCCCTCACCCGCAGGGACTCTGTATTGAACGGCCACCTCACCCCTGCCTCACCCGCAGGGACTCTGTATTGAACGGCCACCTCACCCCTGCCTCACCCACAGGGACTCGGTATGAACAGCCGCCTCACCCTGCCTCACCCCACCTCACCCTGCCTCACCCACAGGGACTTGGTATGAACGGCCACCTCACCCCTGCCTCACCCGCAGGGACTCTGTATTGAACGGCCGCCTCACCCCTGCCTCACCCACAGGGACACTGTATGAACGGCCGCCTCACCCCTGCCTCACCCGCAGGGACTCTGTATGAACGGCCGCCTCACCCCTGCCTCACCCACAGGGACTCGGTATGAACAGCCGCCTCACCCTGCCTCACCCGCAGGGACTTGGTATGAACGGCCACCTCACCCCTGCCTCACCCGCAGGGACTCCATTAAAGGGCTCTGAGCACTGCGCGGGGAGTGGGATCGTGGAGAAAGCCCGTGAAGCCGCCGGCACAGAGGTCAGTGAGCGCGAGAGGCCCCCCAAGTCCCTCTCGGGTGCCAAGCATCACAGGCAACGCATTACTGTGACGGGCCTGGTCATCCCGCTCGGCCCGTGCCGCCGCGAAACAGCACGTGGACACGCAGGGGTCCCAGACCTGGGGCACCGACGCTGAGTCTCCGCTGGTACCGAGGGTTGTGCGCTGACTGTCGGGGTTCCCCTGAGCAGGGCTGTGGAGGGGGCGCTGCCCGACGGATTATCATTTTCTATCGCTAATGAGTTCATCTGTCTTTTAGGAAAGACATGGAGAGGAGGAGGCGGAGGGAG